TAAAACCTAAGTACTGACAACTTTGTTTGGGAATTAAAGAGTTCTTTTGGTAATTTATGACAAAACCAAACTGCTCGAGACATTTCTGTGCAAAAACGATATTCTCCTCACAGATATTTATAAATTTATGAATAAATAAAAAATCATCTAGGTATAAAACCATTAAAAAATCGAATGATCTTAATCTGTTTACAATCGGCTTCATTATTTTAGTAAAGACATATGGGCTCGTACACAAGCCAAAAGGCAGACACAAAAACTGAACACATTTCCCATGAAATGTAAACCTCAGAAATTTTCTGTGCTCTTCGTCCATAGGAATGAGAAAATATCCATCCCTCAGGTCTAGTGTCCCTAAAAAATCATTTTGAGAAATTAGGCTTAAAGCTGCTCGAATATCCTCCAATTTGAAATGCGGAGGGTCAATATATTCATTTAATTTTTTTAAATTTAAGATAAAGCGATTTCTTCCATCAGGCTTTGGAATAAGGAAGTAAAGCGAAAGGAATTGCCCTTGGCATTCTTCACATTCTTCAATCGCTCCTTTACTCAATAATCTATCAATTTCTATCCGTATCGATTCACTTTCTCCAATAGACAAAATTCTCTCTTCTGGAGGGCTTTTCTGATATGGGCATTCGATAAATGGGATGGTATACCCACTCAAGCAATTAAAAATATAATTATCCGACGTAATCTTTTCCCATTCTCTAACAAAATGTCTGAAACGTCCAGCTGGTTTCTGCACTTGAATCACTTCCTTGACGATACTGTCTCGACACTGTCTTGGATGTATTCTGGGCTGCTCCGTAGTTCCTCGGCTTGAATTTCAGGTTCCCTGTGCTTGGCTGATATTGACCCACCTGACGTTGACGCGCAGGTAGGTTTTTCCCGTTTCCCTGCTCTCTCGACTTTGCGATGTATCTGGGCATAGACTTTTCTTTGATGTCTGCACATGCCTTTTCTATTTCATCCTTTCATTAACATCCTTTACTTTCTCCTTGAGGTTCTCCCTATAAAGCCACTCTTTTGAAATAGTAGTTTCCACCACTGGTTTTATACCCTTATTTAAACTTGGCGTAATAAAAGATTTCCTGACCACGGATTGTTGATGAAACACATCAGTCAATATTTGGCTCGCATGGCTTATATAGTCCGTGAATTTATCTTCTTCAAAACCCTCCTCCGGCTGTTCTATGATTAACGTGACTGCCGCTCCAAGTGCTGCTATGGCTGTACCCATGCAATTCTGTGTATCTATGAAATGCTGTTTTCTTTTTTTGGCAATTTCGGTCATTAACACGTTCAACATGGCGTGAACCACCGGTGGTTCACAGGCATTGCCCTCATCTGGCGGCGTGAACCATCGGTGGTCCACACGTAGTTTGTTCCGTCTAGCGGCATTGACCATCGCGCCGCCAGACGAATGAACAGCTGATAATCTCGAGCCTCCCGACCATACGGACATCGAAAAACTGCGCCGGGTTGAACGTGTTAATGGCACAATCTCTAAGTTGACTTTGGGAGCTTCAAGATACAAATCTCCCTTTTGGTTGTATGACTCCAGGATCTATTTCTTGTTCTTTTCTGGTAAGCCTTCATTTTTCCGTTTTAGCCATGTATTTGTTACGTCCGAACCAGAATGGAGGCCTAGACTGGGGCCTTTACCGAACCGTAATATACTATAACTTTGCCCTGTTTTGAGTCAATGCTTGCGCACTTTACTCGGGATTGGGCTATGCCTCTAATTACCAAGGGAAGGATGAATTGAACTGGATATTTGCTAGGATTGATTCGAAAGTTTCTAAACAATTGAAAACCATCACCAACTAAACAATTGAATTTAGGAAGTCTAACATTTATGATAATTCAGCAAAAATTTAAAGAGTTCCTTCACCAATAATAATTTGATTGTGCCTTGATTCTGTTGCTTATGGTTATCCAAGATGTCTCCGGTGTGGAAGAGGTTGGTTGCAGGCAAAATATATATATATATATAAGCAAAGTTAATGAACAAATGAATAGAATTTATTATAACTTAATGCACTGACAACAAACTCTACAAAGATGCTAGTTGAGGAATAACTGAAAACAATTTCGACTGGTACTAGATAAATTAATGAATTGCAATAATTGGAGTAACTGTTAGATGGTAATTTTGTGCGAGAGGAATGTAGAACTGTTTTACTAGACTGTCTGAAGGATCAGCGGAGAACGAGGACGAGACTTGGAAAAAATTAGGGATGTTGGTTAGCGGGGGTGGATTGTTGGAGTAGGATTAGGGATTGTTACTATTGGTTCAGCTTGACAAATTTTTAAGAAGAAGAGCATGGAGTGGTTAAAGAAATTAATTCATTGGTGCTGGGAATTTTGGCGGGGGTACTCTGCACAAGGGTAAAGGAATTGCTGGATCAGGATTGGATGAGGATGACTTCTTTGTAAATGAATAAGGAGTTTTTAGTGGGGTTTTCCAGGAAGGGTCATTGAGTCATAAAGTTAGGAACGTCAGCATATGCATCGCATAAACAACGTCAATAACAGTCAAACTAAATATGCTTTCTATAAACATTTCCGTTAGGCTCTACTCATTGTCAGTAGACCTAAAACCTATATATTAAATAACCATATCTTTGGGTCGCTATGTGATGAAAACCAGACCCACTGTTTAGTCTTCCCATAGTCCGACATAGACCACGTACGTAGGATCTGATTTTCCACGCGGACGTAACAAATTCATCAGTTCTGGGTGATATTTCACCATTTTAAATTTGCAACCATTTGTATCAACGCCCAGTGGCTTAAGAATCTGATCACTCTGTTCAGAAACAATTTCTACGTCGTCCTCCTTTCCATTTGCCTCAGTATCTTTTTCTTTATCTGAAGCTGGCAAATACATAGAGTACAAATTATTAAGGTACAATTGTGTAATCTGTGGATCTTGCACTTTTATTCAGCTATGCACACAGATACTTTATTTTTACATCGTATGGATATGAAAATACCATGGAGGTCACTCAGTTTTCGTGTGGAACAAAGAGGTTGTAAAAAACGTAGCCTGGTTGCATTGACTTTACCTTTTTTGATTTCCAGAGAATTTTCCACTG